TCTCACTATTCGTTTGTAAAAGAGTAGCCCAAGAGTTGGCGGTGGGTGGTGATGACTAGCTGCCTTCCCTCTAATCTTACACTGCTAAATTAGGGACGGCTAGCGCAGATAGCCCTCGTGTAGCTTTGCGCGAAATTCAAAAACAAACAAACAACTTGAAACTGCATTACTTCTAAAATCTGAGGTATTTAACCAACACTTACAAATCTTAAAAGGAAAAAAAAAGATACGTGATACACCGGAAAAACTTTAAACTTTTTTTATTATTATTAACATCGGAACTTTTTGTGCTTAAAATAACTTCCTTTTGAATTATTCACATCTTAATAATGGGCTCATAAATCCTATAATCTCTCGAATTTGTACTCAAACCTCTAGTCTCACACTATTAAATTAGGGACGGCTAGCGCAGATAGCCCTCGTGTAGCTGTGCGCGAAATTCAAAAACAAACACCCATTTTTTAAAGCTCGAAAAAATTTATATTTTTGTAAGGCAAAATCTTACTTTTTTTTTTTTTTACACTCGTTAAAAATCTTTGCGCAACTCCGTTTGTCCAAACTTGGTAAACGAATATATACAGTGCAATTACAGTATCAAATCTGAAAGTCTCGAAAATGAAAAGTAAACGTTGATTTGTGCATCATATCAGCGGTTTTACAGATATGTGTAGTATGTTTCAAAACGCCCCCCAGTAGCACAGCGGTATGACTGCGGACTTGTACTGCTAGAAAACGGGTTTCGATACCCGTGGTGGACAGAACACAGATAGCCCTTTGTATAGCTTTGTACGTAATAACAAACAACAACAACATGTTTCAAAACCCAGATATTTGTTCAGTTACAACAAATCACATAAAACTGCCTGACTGATTTTATATCAATCACAAATCCGCACAGCTACACGAGGGCTATCTGCGCTAGCCGTCCCTAATTTAATAGTGTAAGACTAGAGGGAAGGCTGCTAGTCATTACCACCCACCGCCAACTCTTGGGCTACTCTTTTACCAACGAATAGTGGTATTGACCGTCACATTATAACGCCATCCCGGCTGAAAGGGCGAGCATATTTGGTGTGACGGGTATTCGAACCCGCGACACTCTGATTGCGAGTCGAGCGCTCTAACCACCTGGCCATGCGGGGCCAAATGGGTATTTACAATCAGTAATTACACAAGGCACAATTTTTACAACATACATTTTAATTGATACACATTAAATATCATTTAGTTGTTTTTTTATATACTGAAATTCGTAACTTTCCTTGCTGTCAAATTTTGGCCAGAAACCCAACATAATACTTCAAGTTTTGACCTATTTAGAACATTTAGCCTCCCAAGTCCATATACTAAGCTAACTCGATCAGTGGCATAGCAAGGGTTCTCAGGTTTTGTGACTCATTACCCAATTAATGATAATAACATAAAGAATTAATTACCGCCTTACACAGGCCTAAAATAAAGTCACAATATAACATATCACGATATCACAACTGTAAACCTGGAACTAATGAAGTATAGCCTACTAGGTTATACTTACATAATTTGTAAACCATTTTGATATTTATGCCATCCAGTCAAGCTGGGTGAAATTAAGGAATTGTAGCACCTTAGATCATTCTGGTAAATAAATGCATTACGTTTTTTTTAAATACATATTTTACAGAAAGATGTACAAAAAAACGTGAATAAATGGAATGATGAATCACTTTATGAATTAATTTTTAGATATGTGGTTACGTTTCAAACCTACGTGAATTGAAATAAAAAAAAAAACGTAACAGAAATCGTCAACTATGAGTTTCATATTTTGTACAATTTTGGTTAAGACTATTGTAAGAGGTTTGAAACCAGGTTTTGTTTTTAAACTACAGTTATCGATTTTCAGCAGTTTTCTGGATACTTCGATCAAATTGTAACAGAAAAGTATTGGCGAATATAACTGAACACTCTTAAGATTATTTTATCATACTTTTAATGTAAGCACGATAAAAAGAATGGATGAGATGGGGTGATAAATCATTAATCAGTAACGATACAGAATCTGTAAGACTGCTACATGTAATGTACGCAACAAATCTTTGATGAAGAACATGGAATCTGGATGAATCTCTTTACAAAGTCTCTCAGTGGCTCAGCTGTAGGTCTGAAGACTTAAAGCTAAAATCAGGGTTTCGATACCCGTGGTGGGCACTGCACGGGTAGCTCATTGTTTAGCTTTGTTCTTAATAACAAACAAACAAAAATCTCTTTACAGAAAATAACAATAATAATCGAAACTAGCGTCGCCCCTTGTATATATTTGGTTAACATGGCTTCAAGAAAAGAAATTTCTGGGAAAAATTAATCATTATAAATGGGGGAAAAACAAACGTACACAAATATTATAATTTTATTACATCAACTTTTAACACTGAAGCAAAATATGTGTAACCAATATTAAACCGATTTTATCTTACAGTTTTGAGAATATATATTTAAACAGAGAAACACATTACAAAACAGTTTGAATACAAGAGAAGCAAGGTTGGTACCACGATTCTGTGTGATTTTGAACATAATACCCCAGAAAACCATTTCAAGAGCACTTGGGAACAGTCTATCACTAAACACGGTAGCACTTAGTTTTAACTAAAAATCAAATTTCTAGCGTAAACGATGTTATCATTACCCCTTTAAAGCTTAAGTACAGGGTGAAACAGGAATTACCAGCCAATAATAGATGAACATTAGATGACTGTAACATGCTTTGTACACTATACAATCGGTGTCTTCAGGGAGCCAACCTCTATATTATGTACGAAGGAGTAAAAAAATCAATACACGTAATATTAAATTTTA